CAAGTTAAAAATGCAAGGTTGCAATCTTGGATAAGGGGTAATACATAATGGTTGTAGTAAATGTAGGCATTTAGTTTGTATGAAAATTTCAACTTCTTAACACATTCACTGCGGCAGCCTCTGCACCTAGTTTTACTGCCAGTGCTATACGAGTCATATAGTTCCCGTATGAAGACAGCCAATCTTGCGGTACGAGAAGCATTTTCCCGTACCATGCCCTGACTTTGAGTTTTCCTACAGGCGTGGAAAATCAAGATTTTCTCTTTTTTTTCTCACAGGCTTATAGACAATATCATTGTCAATATACAGCTTTGATCGCACGGGGATCTAAGTAAAAATGTAGAAATTATAAGCATTTTTCAAAAACACAAATTTTACGGGAAATTACTTCCCCCGCCGCATAGAAACCAAAAAATGATAGGGATGGGGTAAAAAATCAAAAAAGTACGAAATTTATCGAAGAGTTAGACGGTATTTATCGTAATAGGTGTCATTTTATCCATCAAATAAAATTTGGATTAAGACAATGAAAACAAGAAGGCTAATTAACGCAAACGAAGAACAATGTTTTTATGACAAGCGCCTTTTCAATATAAAATGTAGGTACATAATTACTCTAATATATGTATAGGTAATGCAAACTTTCGCATGAGATCGGAGTTTAATAAATTATAACAAATACTTTACTTTACCAATTATAGCTGTCTAAGCAGGTATGTTTGCGTTTGTTCACAAATATAATATAAGGTCGCAGATTCTTGATAAAATCAGGTTTTTGATCAAAAAGCTGAACTAGTTTAAATTATTGATGAAATTGCTTTAGCGCAGCGTCGTCGAGACGTGGTCACTGCGCACAACACTAGACCAAACTGGCGCGCTGCGTACGCGCCTCGCAGTGCTATACGGGGTTGTGATTACGACAAAATAGTTCCCGTATAGCACTGAACGAAAACAAAAATCATCCAGTGCGATACGACAATAAACTTCCCGTACATTTTTTCTTCAGAAAAGGATAGTAATTAAAAACGTAATATCAGGAATATATTTGTCTCATTTCTACCTACACAGGAACCTAGGAAAATACCCCCCGCACCGAAGGTAAAACAAGGATAGCAGGCTGCCGCACAGGCGGAAAGTCAAATACGGCCAAATACTTCCCGTAACGCAGGGAATGTGTTAATTGTTACGAATTCAAACTTGGTGCCATAATGGAAATTGTTCAGTACAATGGTCTACACAACATCTCCAATTTAATGTATTTCCTTTGGAACACCTTGTATTTGCTCTCGTATCATAGAGAAAAAGGCACTGCAGTTTTGGGTTAGACGCCGAAGTGTAGATAGAACCTCGACGTAAATGTACTGCAAATGTACAAGAGAAAATGTACTGCAGTTTTGGAGAGCCTCTATAGGGTGGTAGTAAACCCGCTGGCAGACGCGGCGGCGCGACGCACCGGCGTCACCGCTTTATTTACATACATAAATAAATCACGCTTTTACCCCTAGCGGGGTAGGCAGAGCGTTAACGTATGTAACACAAAGTGTAGGTCAGTCGGGAGAGGTTCTGCCGTAAAATTACGGTCTCGTTATCGCCTCGTCTGAAAAACATTTTGAGGGCCGTTTTAGTTATTGTCGTGTGTCACTATCACTATAGTGACAGCCTGTCGCCTGTAATTGCAATACACATGTAACCCTCGAGTCCCTTAGTCGCTTCTTACGACACCAACAGGAACGAAACGGGTTGATGCTATTCTAAGCCAGCATCACACGGCAAATGTACTGCAAATGTACAAGAGAAAATGTACTGCAGTTTTAGAGTAGATCCACTACAGTGTCCAGAGAATAGAGCCTCGACAGGGTGGTAGTAAACCCGCTGGCAGACGTAACGGCGCGACGCACCGGCGTCACCGCTTTATTTGCTTGCTACATTTCCGCCATTAGCCAACTTACAGCCGAATCAATTCAGCGGGGCTATGAAACTGGAAACTCTTGGCATAGACACATATACAGGGTGTTAATTTAAAAGCGTGTCATAGCTTCAGGGTAGGTTAAGTTAGTTAAAGGATTCCGTAAATAAGTACATTTTAAAAAAACCTGAGCAATTTTTAGTTACACATAGCTGAAATTTTATTCAAATGTCAACATTCGTTCAAAGTCAAAGTTGATTAGACGAAAGAACTTGTATTGGCACTCTCTAAACGACAAAACGTTAAAAATATTCAAAAGTCAAAATAACAAATTTTGCCCAGGAATTTTATCAGTTTTTTTTACGGTTACATTACACTCCGTATAAACCACGTACCTACTTATATATCTCCTTGTCTTACAAATAATATTTCTATGGTCTGTCCTTTGATTATAATATTCCTAGGTATGTTTGTCAATTTATCAGACACGAAAACTTAAAATTGTTAACCCTCATAAAACACACGAAACCCTTGAGTCACTTTAGAGGTAGATATAGTCGCATTTTCATACTTTTGTGAGCTAAGCATGTCCTCTTTATCAAATAGTCAGGAATAAATAGATTTAATAGCCTCGGGGCTGAACAAGCCTTCTCTTAGCTATTCCTACATTATGCCTATATTATTTATACGATGTTTGGCTAGATAAATAAGTAAGTAGGCGGTGTGGCAATGTTGTAGTTAAATTCTACATAATCCAGATAAATTCGTACCTACCTAGGTATTTAGACGCTATTCTTGGAATAAAATAAAAATTACTAAGTTAGGTATAGCAACTGATTTTATCATTGCATTGCGATTGTAGCATGGCAGTGTAGTGATTCCTTGGCTGGAGTCTGACAGCATTCTGGGTATAGGGCATTCGTTTTTCCTGGAGCCAGCACGCAGTCAATGTCTGTCCATTGCGGGTATCTGAAAATATTGGTCATCATGATCATGATAAAATATAGACCGATTAAAATAATATTTATTTACGGAACAACTTTTATTACAAACTTTATCTAAAGTTACGAACTTTTTCAACATGTATGAACTAGATATCCATTTCTTTTTTCATATGGTATGCATGAAATGTTTATGATAAAAGTTGTTCAGTTTTGTGAGGAGAACACGCCCTCAAAACTTAATTAAGAGTAACCTTAATAGTCTGGATGACTCTACACCATTTACGATTTAAAACTCGGGTGTAGGTAAGAAAATTATGTAGGTAGGTACTACCTACTACTACGACATTTTCAAATGAAAAATCTTCTTAATTAAAAGTAAATACCTAGGTATTGGTAATAGATAGTACAGTTGGTCAATCTACCAAATCAAAGAAATATGACTTAGAAACTAAAAAATCATAGATACTACAATATAAACAAAAGCATATCGTAGGTGTTGAGACGGCCACTCACTGCATTTGCCGCCAAAGTTGTATGGCACTTCTTTTGCCACTTAGTGATAAATACAAGTTTACAACTAGCATTTGGCGGCGAATGCAGCGAGTGGCTGTCTCAACTATAGTATCACATAATTATAGTATACGTACTGCATAACAGTGTAAGTGTTATCTTCGTTGCAGAGGTACGCCTGGCATAGTCCGTTGACGTCTGCTGCCTTCTCCCCTACGGCTAGCCAATACTTACTTTGTGCCTACGGCCAGAGTCTGGTTAGACTCGTTGATGCAGCATACACCAGGAGCTGAAGGTACAATTTACCTGATTTATATTTTTCTTTCTAGGACTTATCTACCATGAAATTATAACTTAACATTGCATCTAATAATAACAGTATTCCTAATGCATTTCTAGAAACTACATAAATCTGTCTTAAGATTTATTCAAATTGTGATTTGAATTGTAGTGCCAATAGGATGTTCCCCTACTAAAATAGGTAGGTAATGAATATGGAGGCAGACAACTTTTATCTTTGGCATGAGTTTAAAAAATAAACGTTCATACATAACAGAAAAAATAAAATTTTGGACTATCTATGCTTCTTTTATTTAGGTATTTGTTAATTGGTATAGTAATACTACCTAAAGTACGATTTTATATCTTACCACAATCCGGAGCATTTTTCACATTTTTCAGTATTCTTTGACCGTAAATCTGAATAAATAGAAAGCACAATAAAAACAGTATGCTCTTCATCGTTATCCCTGTATTTCGTCTAATACAACAACTATACAGCAAATGTTTATTTAACGAATTGCTTTTATATGTCTACGTTAACCAAAAATACGTCGGTGTGACCATAACTAGTTTTATAAATATTTAAGATTGGTTCCGTATACAATACGATACGAGTGATCTAATATTTCTTTGCTGTGAACTGAATCATAAATATATAGATAGTTTAATAAGTAATCACAAAGATCATTTTGTATCTTAAAATAGACTCTTCCATCATCATCTTCCTGCCCTTATCCCAATTACTTGGGGTCGGCGCAACACGTTTTCTTGAACACAAAATCGTGTTGCAAAGGATTTAGGTTAATTTTACGACCTGCCGCCGACCAGACGTCAACCCTCCTTGGGAAAAAATAGACTTTTCCATTGCAGTTTATTGGTGTTGAATTTTTTTCACTGCAAGTAACGCAAACTTTGACCCAGTGAAACATAACTGAATATATGCATGAGTTTTCGCAGAACTAGGTACCCAAAACGGTAGTATATCCTACATGAATTTCACCTAATGGGACGACTGAAACGGAGAAAGTTGAAAAATTCACCAGCGACCGCCGGGACTTGAACCCGGGACTATGGATTGCCGTTCCACCGCTCTACCAACTGAGCTACGGGCGCCTAGCGGACCCTGGTGAATCTTTCAACCTCTTGATTCGTCTTGAAGCGACGATCCAGCGACATCTGTAGAAAATATTTCTACATATTTAGTCCACATTATGAGTGGAATTCAAACCATATGATGAAGCTTGCTTAAACCAATGTATTGGAATTTTTAATGCACTTACAGCGCAATATTATTCTCATAAATTGAAAATGAGAAGGTGAGAAATTCACCAGCAGAAAGATTCACCAGGGTCTGCTAGGCGCCCGTAGCTTAGTTGGTAGAGCGATGGAACGGCAATCCACACTAATCCACAGTCCCGGGTTCAAGTCCCGGCGGTCGCTGGTGAATTTTTCCACTTTCTCATTTTCAATTTATGAGAATAATATTGCGCTGTGATGTGAGTGCATTAAAAATTTCAATACATTAAGGGGCGGCTTCGGAGACGCGCCGCGCGAAGTTTAGGTTTTTAGCGCTACTCACACAACGATCGAACCTCGCGCGCCGCACACGCACACATGTACGGATGCACAGTGGTTTAGATCAGCGTACTTTGACTCGCCAACTAAACTGTAACTTTGAATTTCGTTACCATATAAAATTATTGTCTGCTAAATTTATTAGGTACTAAATAATAATAAAATATTGAATAAAACTTCTGAGGTAACTTTAACATTTTATTATTTAAATAAAATTAAATAATTATGTATTATGAAATAAAATTTGGAGATCTAAAGGAAAATTATACTTGGTGTTGCAAAACAACCAATAAAGCTTTAAGGCACTAGTAAAATTGAACTGAACCACTTTCTCCGTGGTCGAAATATGAAAAAGAAATTGGACCTCCCATACAAAATGAACTCAATTTGTATGGGGCATTTATTGGTTGTTTTGTAACAACACCAAAACTAGCTTTTTTATTTGTTGCATCTGCAACCGACAAGCAATTCATCTTCATCAGGTTGCTAGTGCCGGATTACTAGTGCCGGAGATACTTCATGATTCTGCGATATGCCTACTATGCTTAAATGATTACAGTATCAAATTGTCCACTGTATCAAAATGTCCACTATTTTTAAAAATCAAAATTGTTGCGTAATATGTCACGTACGCAAAATATTTAAAGAAAATAAGTTTCAAAACGCCAAAATGCCATAAAAGTAAAACTTTATGTCACAGGTTGTAAAATGGGATTAAACTGAGAATGACGCAAAATGCTAGGGAACAGAAAAAAACAAAATATAACTAGTATCAAAACGGCGTTGTTATGGCGACTGTAATCTTCTTCTTCATCGAGTCGATAATAATAATTTAAATAACTTTTGACCAGTGCTTGGCAAATAAAACGCCTTTAGTATTTGCTTCTGGCAGGTCTTGAAGCGTGCATGAGTTTGGGCAATTGGGGCAGACGAGTAAATGTCCCATAGTTTGGCCAGCTCCACAGTCGCAACTGTCATCCACCGACAAACTCCACTTGACTCTGTTATCGTGGCACCTTCCTACACCAGCCCGGAGTCTATTGGTGACTTCCAGACTGCCCAGGAAGGACACCACCAGGGCGAAGCTTCTCGGCAGGTGGCAGATGGGACGCATCAGGTAGGAACAACGTTTCCCAATGCTCAAGTCGTATTTGTGTGGCTTCATCTTCTGAATACTTTTGCTTCATCAAACTATTTCGACTCTATAACGGATGTCTGCCGTCGTCGTTTAGTTGCTTTGCCATTTCCATTGAGCAGGCAGCGTGCTGGCGACTACTTGGGGGGGGGGGGGGGGCTATTTCGGCTAGCGAGTGCAGGTGGGAAAGTGGCGTCACCGGCTTGAGTGTACCGGTGATAATGCGGAACGACTCATTTAGAGCATCGTCAGCCTGACTGGCGTGTGCTTACCGTGCCCATACTGGACTCGCGTACTCGCCAGCCAAGAGAGTTAGACTCTGATGCACCCACTTGGTTGTGGTTAGTCATCGCAGAAGGTTATTTCTGACACGTGCGCCTCAGGAGCCGGGCACCAGGTGCTTAACTAATCCACGAGATTATGGCAAGAACGAAACAATATATCTCGATGCAAGAAAAAGACCGTGATAAAACAAGTAAACAACTCGAAGCCAAACAAACAGTGTCACAAGTTAACACAACCCTAGCTCCTCATTGAAGCTGATCACCGGCATCTGATTGTCACACGCGAGCTGCTTTAAGATGAACCAAATTAACTCGCAATACTCGTATCTAGAACTATCCTAGGTTGGGTGTTGCGCATTCACTAGTTCCACTCACGCTGAGATTGAACTAAAACAAATTGGAGATATCAGCGCAAAACCTAAACTCTTCAAGCCAACGACAGTTCTTCTTCACTTATCAAACTTAGCAAATCTGAACCAAAGAAAAAACATAATCGAACAGAACCAGTATACCGCCAAGATCTTTTACCTAACGACGACGAACGATGCAAGAGATAGGCATTATTTAAAAATAAACATGACATATATATTTTAGTGGTTATACCTTTACTTTTATGATATAAAAATTGACATGTATAGTGGTTAAATTTGACATTTTCATATTATTCTTTAATTATTTTTTGTTTTTTGATATGTATTTTTTACATTTACTGTAAATCTACTTTGTATTTTCTTTTTTGCTATGTTATTTTATTGCTCAAATGTTTAAAGTATATTTTAAAGACAAAACAGTTAGAATAATCTACTGTAAGTTTTATTTTTATTTTGTGAGCCGTTTTTGGCTATTCTATTAATTTATTTTCTAAGTTAGCTAGGGTAGCTTAGGGCCTAAGAATATTGTAGATTTTAGAATAGGTGCACTTCTGGGTAGGTTTTGGGCGGTTTTCCTGTCCAAGGGGTCCGGCTAACCATACAAATGTAACTCCTTTTTAAAATTTTGACAGAATGTTATTCCATTTAATTGTCATTCATTGAGGCATAAAGTTGCATGCTGTGTGGTTAGCCTGGCCAGCCCCGAGGCAGTGCCTTTATTTTAATTTTTTTATCCCGCCTGAGCCGCGTTTAGAGTAGGAACTCAAATTGTTATAAAAAAGAGAAAATTTTTGAATTGAGAAAGATCATCAACCCATGTCTAGAACCACGCACACGCACCATTTATCCCGAACCTGTTGATTGATCTCTGTAAGAACCAGCCATTCCTCCGGAAAAAAAAAACCGAAAGCGAGAATCGACCATCTGCACCTCAGAACGTCGTCCTACCAAATATGGGTCATAATCATAATAATGGACTAAAGTATCGATTTTCTCGAAGCTTGTGTCAATAATTTAGCATTTTGCAACTTTGACATTTTGCAGCTTTAAAATTTAGCAATTCTGTTTTTTTTTGCATCTGAGACATTTCCCGTTTCGTGTAGTATTTGTTTGCTTTGACATTTAGCCATATTCATAAAGTAGTCATTTTGATACAGTAGTCATTCTGATACGGTGACCATTCTGATACAGTGGACTTTTCAAAGTTGGTATTTTGATACTGTGGTCAATTTGATACAGTTAACATTTTTAAATTGTGGTCATACTGCGCCCAAAGGATTTCAAGGGGTAAACCCAGCCCATGAAATTTAGCTTTGATTGATTAGAAGTGATTTTTCTCAAGTTGATGTAAGTGCCGTATGAAAAATAAGATATAGCGCGAAAGATATCAGAAAAGGGTTGTAAGTTAGCCCTTGTCCATTTGCCTACCCCTAACTAAGGGGTACAGGCGTGATTTTCTTAAGTTGATATAAGTACCGTATGAAGAATAAGATTCAGCGCGAAAGATATCGGAAAAGGGTTGTAAGTTAGCCCTTGTCCATTTGCCTACCCTAACTAAGGGGTACAGGCGTGATTTTTCTTAAGTTGATATAAGTACCGTATGAAAAATAAGATTCAGCGTGAAAGATATCGGAAAAGGGTTGTAAGTTAGCCCTTGTCCATTTGCCTACCCTAACTAATGGGTACAGGCGTGATTTTCTAAAGTTGATATAAGTACCGTATGAAGAATAAGATTCAGCGCGAAAGATATCGGAAAAGGGTTGTAAGTTAGCCCTTGTCCATTTGCCTACCCTAACTAATGGGTACAGGCGTGATTTTTCTAAAGTTGATATAAGTACCTTATGAAGAATAAGATTCAGCGCGAAAGATATCGGAAAAGGGTTGTAGGTTAGCCCTTATCTATTTACCTACCCCGTAAGAAACAGGCGTGTTTTTTCTAAAGTTGATATGAGTAAAGTGCGTTCGATACTACCCCCAGATTAATTATACTTGCTTACTTAGATTAATTAATTATACTTACTTACTCAACTGAAGGACGTAACCACTGTGCATTGATTTTGTGTAAGTATACGGTTCGATCGCGATCTCTGGATGCGGCGTAAAGCGACGTGCTCTCACCCCGGAAGTGCGTGGCTTACTGAAGGGCGCGAGCGCACGCACTCGTATTTGAAGGAAGCGCACCGCTCCATAGTAATTTGTATGAAGATTTTGAGCGAAAAAATTTAGTTAGTTTGTGATTTTTTTACGTAAAACTGGTGTGTATTTATTAAAAAATGACGATTGTATCGGCTTCCTTATAGATTTAACTTTATTATTTAAAAAAATTCATTTAATAATTCTTGTCAATAACGTCTCAGTTTTTACAGTGCGGGAGTGCGATTTACACGTTTTTAGTGATATTCCGATTTTTTTCGGTTATCCATAAGCTTTAACTTAAATTCGAATGTTTCATCGGCATGTACCTTTCATTGGCTAGTTGTGTGATTTTTTTCAAGACTATGAAGCATCGTTTTCTGTATATATTTTTTACAGTCCCGACCCTCGATTGCCTATTGCTGACCCTTAATAGGACGACGTACTTTTTTTACAGTTAACTATATTTTTGACTATTATACAATACTTAGTCATGTCATGTCATAATCATGACTCATGCAACTTGTTTTGGTAACATATAATATTTTAGAAAAATAAATTAATCTTTGTTTCTAACCATCCCCAATTCGTACCTAGGTATCTACCTACCTTCTAAAACTGAAGCAGCTGAGCAAACTTATTGTTTTGAAAACTATGCTTAGGTAGGTTCAAGGCGAAAGAGGCCCATCATCTATGAATTTCGAGTATTTTTAATTCAGAGTCAATGAAGTACCTAGGTACGTAAAGACTCATTTACGTAATTTAATATGATGCAGAAATATATAATGATCAATAATTTGGGGTGGAAAGTTTTTCTTCTGTGACCGAGTCGACGAATTTAAAATTTGGTTATCTATATACCTACTTATTCTCTGTTTATTATTTATTGCTCGGAGGAAAATTACACTTGACTTCAGGCCATTCGTGTCCATAATAAACAGC